GCTCTAAGCCGCATCTGCCAGTAAACATCTTATTTTGAAAGGTAATCTCAGTGCTGAGATTGGAGTTGAGAGTCAGTACTCCTTCCACACTTCTGTGTTTGCACTTGAAACTTTCTAAGAAAACTGCTAGACTGAAGTGTCTCCTAAAGTGTGAAGAAAATATATCCTCTAAAGATCGGTAAGAAAGTACAGTAGGGCAATAGCTCTTTTTCCCAAAACTCAGTGCAAGTCCTAACAAATTGCGTCCTGCATGTGCACTGAGTACCCCTTTATATCTAAAGAGCAGACTGTCTCTAGAGAGCCTACAACTAATTTGAAAGTAAAGAGAGTTTTGCTGCCGTTACCCCGTTGAAAGCAAGCAGCCATATTAAGCCATTTGTATTGCTTAAAACTACTATATGCTACCCACATAAACATACTAATTCCATGGGTGAAGCACTTGATGAACGATAGCTCGCCAGCATGCAGTTTAAGATGCGCTCGTGGCGTAGCTCGGCGCATAGAAACAAATTTGCTTTCCTCAACCACTAGTACTTTCTTAAGTCTCTAAACCCTGCAAAACAAAATTGCAAAAATCAAATTAGCCTGGATATAGCAAAGAAATGATATTCTTGCAGATATTCTATAAATTTGATCAAGCTTACATGTAACAATTTCCTTCAGCTCAAGTAGTTGTATAAAAAGGTATTTTTTATTTATCGCGCAAATCAAGAGTTTTAATGTCTAATTTTACATTCGGCAATTACATTCCAACGTAAACTTCTTGAAAAAGTTCTCTGATAAAAGATTAGTTGCTTAGTGGTCTTGATTTAGAAACTTTGCAGAAGTTACGTACAGTTGCTGCAACCAATTGGAGCTATCGTTCATAAAGACAGACACCCTAATTTAACAGGATGAGTCATTCGAGACAATTTGTCAAAGACTGAGACTCATAACTTTTTGTAAGATTCTACATAATCATCATGACGGCTCGCAAATACACGTGCGTAGATTCGTTGAAGCTGATTCATTAATAAGGGATAAATATAGAAAAATGGCAAAAAGAAAACACTTTTTATGCAATTAAAAGGAGTCAAAAAGTCATTAAATAAAGAGAAGCCAATTTTATAATTTAATAATTTGCCTGTGCGAGAACAGATAAGAAATCAATCTTTGTGCGTTTGCATTGAACTGGACTGAATCTGCATTAACGTCTATAGCTGCATACAATAATTTTTGCGTTCGTATCCTCAGAACATAAACGCTCTTAAGTGTTTCAGCTAATACAAAAAGAGGTCTAAAGAGTGACTAAGATTATTTATTCACTTACCCAAATTCATCCAATTTCTCGACCGTTCAGAGAAATAAACGCGGTTTCAGATTTGTTCGTATTCGATTCCGATTCTCACACTTCAAATGGTTTAACGTACTTATGATATCTGAGTGCGGTCAACAAAAAAATCGACAACAATGCGCGAAAATCAGAATTAACGAGCCATAAACTGTGTGATTCTCCAAAGTTCTTCAAATTATTCTTGACTCAACGCATTAACAACAGAGCCTTGCTTTTGACTAACAATGACCTAAAGCTTACCGCTCGACGATCACACGAAGAGATGGGTGAAGGTGTTGCACGTATTTCCTAGGGACGTCCTTAATCCTTTGCATGCGGTTTTTTCTTCTCTTCATCCTCTTTGCCGTTGAAACTGTGGACAGTCGCGGAGGTCGAAGAGGAGGGAAAGGGAAGGGGAAGAGTAATCTACAATTTGCACAAGTAGCGGAGTTCTCACTGATTCATACACAACTGGCTGATAACCGAGTAATGTTTTATAAAATTGTAGGAAAGGAGAATTTGCCAATTATTTCTGCTTCAGAGTGCACATATAGTCACCGGATCTCACTTCAGTCAAACGTTCCGACTCGGATATAAACTGATATTGATATGCAAGGCAAAAGGAGATCCACGACCAACTATCAAATGGTACAAGGAAGGAGCAGAATTACATCCAAAACACAATGTTCACGTATGTTATCGAACATTTTATCTTGGCAGTTCTCTAACAATCACTTTTAGTATTACGAAAAACCTTTGGCTGACGACATGTTATGGAGCAAACTGGAAATTGGTGAATTACTTACTTTTCTTATTCTTCTTATTTAGTTTGTCCGCTCGACCTCTTTAGTAACAAAAACGAAAAGTTTTGATGCACGTTCTTACCTATTGGTGCTAGGTGATTTTTATTTTAGTGGTTAATTTTCCCGAGCGATGCCCTACTAAATAAGCTCTATGAATAGAATGCATATCTGTTACTTGACCTGAAAGAATTTCGTCTTAACTTTATTCCTGAAGCAGAACAAAAAGATTTTCCATCGCTTTCTACGTTACTAGGTTAAACAAGAACATCCGCTGGCCTGTCGCCCAATACCAGACATGACCTTTTATATGCGAAAGAAGTATACTTTCAGTACTTTTTCAAAATTTGTAAAAGAAGCAATGAGTATTTTTTACTATGGAAGTGGTGCAAGGAAATAGCTGTCATTGCGAAGAGCTTACATTTACATTCGGCAAGAAAAGGCTTGTTCTGATTATGACTGAGTGTTCACAACAGCCCTCCTGATTAACGAATCAAAAAAGTTTGCAAAAGTTGAGAATGCTAGGGAATCTTTCTTAGGAAACAATGATTAA